TCACTATTATTATTATAATACATTAATATATAGCATTTTTATTGTTTATTACCCCGCTCTACAGCAAGCTCTACGCGCTTTAAGCGAAATTATTTTTAAAGTAAAGTATTTATTAGAAATATTAGAAAAAGTAGAGGGAGTAGACGCCCCAGACACTACGTTACCCTAGAATTAGATAGTTCTATTTGCTCTGTATCTAGTTTGGAAAAATTTGAGTTGAAAAAATTTGAGTTTCACTATATGTCAAGCTTTTTCGAATCCAATTCTTTAAATATATTATTGATGACGACGGAATAATCTTATGATTTTGATAAAACAGATAAACCATTTATTGGTATCTGATCTCATGGTTTTAGTAACTCTATACAACCAAAAATATCAGTTAGAACTTTGCAATTTTAAGGAGGCGACTAGTCTAGAACTCTAAATACTAAAAAAATCCGTGACTGAGAGTCATTGCTATTCTGTTGCGGGGATATAATCTTTCCTCACCTCTAGACTTGCTCCAACTGCTTCAGCCAGGTCTGTCTTGTTGACCACCAAAAGGTCACTCTGCGTGACCCCTGGCCCACCCTTCCGAGGAATCTTGTCTCCTCCTAAAAATAAAATAAAATAAAGTTTAAAAACAAAAATCCCCCCCCCCCAAGAAAAACAAAAAAAAAACGAAACAAAAAAAAAACCCCAACAAAAATACCCACTGTAGTTTTGCATCAATACCGAATTGGACTGCTCCATAACTTACTTCTGGCCATTAGTTCTTTGATTTTAATGTTTCTTTTTTTCTCTCCTTTTTGGGGGGCAGGTTTTCTTTTTAGTATGGTGCAGCATTATTTCAAAAGGTAATAGGAGAAAGCAGTGGCGTCGCGTGAGTTGCAGACAAGGTGGTGCATACTTGGAAAGTGAGCAAATGGGCAATAGGCTTAGTAGCTAGATCTACTATTAATCTTTCTAGAGAAAGTCTGTTAGAATCTGCAGGATATTCCGTAATCTACATCTATCGATATTTACAACTGTCTCTAGATGAAACCGCATAAAAGCTGCAATATAGTAAAACAATATTAACAACTCACTATGCTCACAATCTGAGAAGATTTTAAAATTTCTAATTGATTCGTGCAGCACCAGGACTTGCTACACAATAGAGGGAGATAACAGTTTCGATACCCATTCTTCACTGAGTTACCGTAGACTCTACTAGTGTTGTAGATAGGCTCGCGGAAACTTGGATCAAATTTTTGCACCAAATTGGGGCTGCGAAGAGTAGTCTCAAGCACCTTTCTTCTTGTGCGGGAAGAACGTTGCCTAGATTTCTCTACAGTGCCAAACATAACTTTGGTGCAAAGATTTTGCTTGCTCCAAGCAGACGTTACCGCAAGCGGTGCGACGAGCATAAACCACCCTCGGTGTCTGTCTCTTTGCTGGCGCAGCCAGCGGGTGACGGATCGCAAGGCTTAAGGATGTACATTTTAGTGGGCTAGGCCTAATGTAGATCTAGAGCACTGACTGGTTTAGAACTATTACAAAAGGGGGGGGGGGGGGATTGGCCAGGGTTAGGTGGAGCGCTTGCACCAATTGCACCAATGGCGCCCCGCCACTGGGAGAAAGATGCTAGAAGTAGGAACATTCGGAACAATTGTCAGTACAGTCGGACATGTCCAAGACACCACGCAATGCAGACAAAAAAACACAAGGTGTGAAGTGAGAAGCGGCCATTTGTACTTCTGATTGTCTTGGACAGGTGGACGTCTTGGACAGTATCATTATAATAATATATAAAATGTAAGGAGATAAATGTGGAAAAATTCGTTTATATATTATGTAATTATTTTGGACAGTTAGCCTTTCCAGCAGGTTCACCTGTATTTCGTCTTTTCTTCTTTTTTGTGCTTTATTCTAGTATAGTGCAACATTTTATTTTTCGTAAGGAAATGGGTAAAAAAACAAACAACCGCAAGGATATAGAAAATTTGAGAACAATTATATTATTATTCTTTCAAAGAACATTTATTTTCAGCACCTCGCCGCTGTCTAAGTGGGGAGTATTTCCAGATTTAGATGTCGATTTCAGAATCTGCCGGAGATAAAAATACGAACAAATTGCCGATGAAATTACGAAACATAATTATCACTCTCAGCGCTTACTTACGAAGGAGCTAACCAGAGCAGAACATCCGCCATCTTACCTGAGACATCGATGATGTAGATGATGTAGTCTGCCAGCTCTCGGGAGAAGTTGGCGGCAAGATTGTCTCCCCCTGATTCTACAATGACAATGTCTGGGTGGAATTTCTGGGTTAATTCCCTTACTTCAGCCATGTTTAGTGAGTAGTCCTGCGAAAGGAATGGGAATTTTAAAAAAAATTATTATTATTATTGTTAA